ATTTCCGCCTTGCTGAACTCCTACTCAGCCTCTAAACCCCAGCTGAAATATCTCCTCTATGACTCCACAAACCTCTAGCCAAGCTTGTCTCTACCCCCTTAGCCCTTTGCCCACCCCTTTATTTATTTATTTATTTTAACTTTTAATTTTATATTGGAGTATAGCCTATTGACAATGTCGTGATAGTTTCAGGTGCACAGCAAAGCGACTCAGCCGTACGTATGCGTGTATCCATTCTCCCCCAGACTCCCCTCCCATCCAGGCTGCCACATAACATCGAGCAGAGTTCCCTGTGCTGTGCAGTAGGTCCTTGCTGCCCACCCCTGTATGGTGGACATTGTCACGTGCTCTAGCTCCCAGAGGTCAGGGGCTTTGTCTCATCTCGAGGTCCATGCACCGGGCTGCACGCAGAGTTGAGGATCAGTGTTTGATGAACGTGACACGGAGGCTGGAGGTATCTCAGGACCCTCTCCAGAGTAAGCTGAAGGCGGGAACGATAACTGTAGGGTTGGGTAAGAGGTCCCTGGGTGACCCCACCCCATCTTGGCCACTTCAGCAGCTGCCCAATCCCTGGACAGCCCTGCACAGTGTCTGGGTAGCTTCCTGTCTGTGGGACCGGGAAAGGGCTTGGGGCAGGGGCAGGCAGGGGCAGGATAGGGTGGTGGGAGGAAGGAGCCTCTGGAATCAGGTGTCTGAGCTCTGCCCGGCTTGGCCAGGACAGGACCTGGCACCGGGGGAGGGAGAGCTGCTTCCTGGCCGCCCTTGTGAGTGGCGGAAATGACTGGGTCCCTGAAAGCAGGTCCAGAGAAAATGCTGGGGGCCTGGCCTTTCCTGCTTCCTGGTCAGCCAGCCCCGGAACAGGACAGCGGTCAGGTCCCGGGGCGGGGGGCGCACTGCAGAGGTGGCATCCTGATGCCCCTGTCTGATCTGTTAGTCGGCAAACACACAAACGGTGAAGAAGGTAGTCACTGCCCTGGGCAGCTCTCAGTCCAGGTGGGGACCTGCCGGGCTGGTCCGCACGGATTAAAGGAGATAAGCCAGGTGGGCAGCGTGCTCCGTCCAATGCTGAGCCGGCTGTGAGATAGGATTCTTAGGAAGCTGGAAGGTAAGATGTGGGCCTTGAATGCCAGGCTCAGGGGCATGGTGCTTCTTGCAAGAGCCACTGGGGAGGGCTGCAAAGGTTTGGAGCAGGAAGGCAAGGCACTTCCTGGGTGTCTGGCCCAAGTTTGGTGCTTGCCACGCATTTTCTCATCACAAGGCATTTTACCAATGACAAAACAGGCCCATAGAGGTTTAGTGACTTGCCAGGGGTCCCAGGGCCAGAGAGTGAAAAGTCGCGCGGGGTGAGAACAGGCGGAGCTGATGTCTGTCCCTGTGCCTGCCAGCCTGCTCGCCGGGATTCTTCAAGTCCGAGGCATCCGAGAGCCCCTGTCTGGAGTGCCCCCCACACACCCTGCCATCCTCCGAGGGGGCCACCGCCTGTGAGTGTGAGGAAGGCTATTTCCGGGCCCCGCAGGACCCACTGTCACTGCCCTGCACGCGTGAGTCTCACAGCGGGTCGGGGAGGGGTGACAGAGCGGGGCGCGGTGATGTTGGCATGTCCAGGCCTACCTGGATCCGAGCTCTGCCCTCTGCCCTCTGCACAGGCCCGCCCTCTGCCCCAAGCTACCTCACGGCTGTGGGCATGGGCGCCAAAGTGGAGCTGCGCTGGACGCCCCCCCAGGACAACGGGGGCCGCGAGGACATCACCTACAGTGTCACGTGTGAGCAGTGCTGGCCCGAGTCAGGCGAGTGTGGTCCCTGCGAGGCCAGCGTGCGCTACTCGGAGCCGCCGCACGGGCTGACCCACACCAGCGTGACAGTCAGCGACCTGGAGCCCCATATGAACTACACCTTCACCGTCGAGGCCCGCAACGGCGTCTCGGGCCTGGTGACCAGCCGCAGCTTCCTCACTGCCAGCGTCAGCATCAACCAGACAGGTGAGGGCCCAGGGGTGGCAGCTGTGCCCTTGGGGCCTGCCCAGGTGGGGCTTCATGAGGATGGCCACTCAGGGTTCGGCTGGGTTCAGAGAGAGACAGCAGCAAGTGGTTAAAGACACAGTCCCTATAATCACTTCCAAGCTCTGTGACTGTGGGCAGGTTACTTAACCTCTCTGAGCCCCAGTTTCCTCACCTGTAAAATGGGCGTTCTGGGGCTTTTGAGAGGATTTAATAAACTCTTGTATATAAGGCTCTTAGAACAGTGCCTGGTCCATAGAGAGGTTATAGCAAGAGTCAGATATTGTTTTGGTTTTATTATTTATGCACTCATAAGTACTCACAGGGAACCCCCGATGTGCCAGCCTGTGGTGGGGCCCAGGCTGGGGCTTTGTGCTCTGGAGCTGGAAGTTGAGAATCCCAGGTCGGGATCTAAGGAGCCTGGGCTGTGGATGGGAATGCGTCTGGGTGCATCCCCACTATTCCCCTTCCCCCGTGTGGCTTTTCACACCCCTCCCCTCCCCGCCACCGTCCTGCCCAGAGCCCCCCAAGGTGAAGCTGGAGGACCGCAGCACCACCTCGCTGAGCGTCTCTTGGAGCATCCCTCCACCGCAGCAGAGCCGCGTGTGGAAGTACGAGGTCACCTACCGCAAGAAGGTAACTCAAAGGGCTGGGGCTGTCCCCGCTGGGCTTCGAACACAGGACCAGCTGGTCACGTAGGCGCTCACTGCACAACACAGCCATCTGGAGAAGCGCTATTCTGCAGATGAGGAAAGTGGGGTCTGGGGTCTTCCTGAGAGCTGCCTCTCCCAGGCCAGCCCAACAGAGATTTGTGGGAAAGAAGACACAGTGTTCTGGAGTCCCCAGAAGAGACAGTCTTGGGTGGTGGGGAGCCAGGTCTTGGGGATCAGACAGACCTGGGTTTGAGTCCTGGGTCACTCATTTGCTGGTTATGACCTGGAGTGAGTCACTTCACTTCTCTGAGCCTCGGCTTCCTCCTCTGTAAGGTGAGCGTCGAGGTTTTGCTAACATAGCTTGTCACCTTGCTAAGCTGGGGCTGCTCTCTGCTGGGCTAAGCTGATGGCCCTGCCCTCACTGTCTGTCCCTCCACCCGCCAAACACCCACAGGGGGACTCCAACAGCTACAACGTGCGCCGCACTGAAGGCTTCTCCGTGACCCTGGATGACCTGGCTCCGGACACAATCTACCTGGTCCAGGTGCAGGCGCTGACGCAGGAGGGCCAGGGTGCTGGCAGCAAGGTGCACGAGTTCCAGACACTGTGTGAGTCAGGGACCAGGGTGTGGGCCAGGCCAGAGTCCTGAAACAACTGGGACATTGTGGGCGGAGGGAATGTATCAAAGAACTTAGAAGTGTCCCCTTCCTGGTCGGCCAGGGCCTAAGGACAGCCCAGTGTGGGTCAGCCCCAAGTCTGGGGAGGGGGCAGAACTGAGGGCTGGGGGTGTGGGAACCAGCTGTGTATCCAGGGCAGTGTTGTGAGAAGGAAGGATGTGGGCTGTGGCATTGGCGGGCCCAGTTCAAATCCTGCATCGTGGAGAGAGTCCCACACACCTGAGACTACCTGCTCTATTCCCTGGGGAAGCCCTCTCATTTGCCATCTGTGAAATGGGAATAAACATCCTCATGGACCGTCACTAGTAAAGGCCACCCGGCAGGTGTCTTGGGGCCCTAAAGTACAACCGGGGGTATTACCATGATTTGAAGGAGGAGGGCTCCCTTGTCATCTGTTGGTCTCTCCCTGGCAGCCACGGAAGGATCTAGCAACATGGCAGTGATTGGTGGTTTGGCCATTGGTGTGGTCTTGCTTCTGGTGCTGGCAGGAATTGGCTTTTTCATCCACCGCAGGTTCGTTGGAGCCTACGCCCCGGGGGCTTAGGTGGGACACAGGGGCGGGAACCTCAGCTTCCTGTATGGAAACTGGGGCTGATAGGAATCTAGTCCCTGCCTCCCGGGGGGCTGTAAAGATGTAATGATCTGTAAAGGGCTCAGCACAGCACCTGTGAGGCTCAGGGCATGGTGGTCATTATGACAGTGCGTCCACACTTCCTCAGGACACGCGGGCAGGAAGCTCTGGGGAGCTCTAATGAGGAGAGCCTTCATTACAGCCACTTAAGGGGCCATAACAGGGTGTAGATCCCAAGGAGTGAGCCCGGCTTGCTCATTTCCTCTCCCCCTGGCCTTTTCCATGCCCTCTGCCTGACTGAGCAGAGTGCTGAGCACACCCAGCCCGCAACCTGGACCAGAGTAGGGTCAGGAGGCTCCCAGGCTGGGGCAGGTCACTGACCTCCCTGCGTGTTTGGTTTCCCATGGGGTCTCTCAGGAGGAGGAGCCTGCGGACGCGCCAGTCCTCGGAAGACGTTTACTTTTCCAAGTCAGGTGAGATGCAACGCCGCCTCCATGCCTGGCCTGCTATCCCCATGGGCCTCCTCAGCTCTGTGGTAGAGATTGGGGCAGCCAGAGCACTCCCCGGGCGTCCTTGGGCAGCTCAGAGGGCCGAGCCAGAAGCTCCTGAGGTGCCCGGACTGTTGCCTACTCCCCCTCCCCCTCCCCCCAAGGCAGCCCCTCCTAGGGACCCCTCCCCTCCCCAAACTGTCTATGACCCTGCCCTTCCTTCCCCTCCCAGAACAACTGAAGCCCCTGAAGACATACGTGGACCCACACACATACGAGGACCCCAACCAGGCTGTGCTCAAGTTCACCACTGAGATCCATCCGTCCTGTGTCACACGGCAGAAGGTGATCGGAGCAGGTGAGGTTAAGCGCTCGCCGAGGGGCCTGGCACGGGTTGGGAGCACCCGATGCCCGGGCTGACTGGGGTGTCTCCCACATCGCCTGCCTGCAGGAGAGTTTGGGGAGGTGTACAAGGGCACGCTGAAGGTGTCGGGCAAGAAGGAGGTACCCGTGGCCATCAAGACGCTGAAAGCCGGCTACACAGAGAAGCAGCGGGTGGACTTTCTCAGCGAGGCCAGCATCATGGGCCAGTTCAGCCACCACAACATCATCCGCCTGGAGGGCGTTGTCTCCAAGTGTGAGGCCCGGCTTCAGAGTGGGGTGTGGGAGACCCACGTGGGGGATGGGGGAGGGGCTGCCCCCTGGGGCCTCTGATAGGGTCTCTGTTCATAGCTGTGCCCAGCCCAGCCCAGCCCTGCCTGTGCCTCTTCCCTCCACCCGTGGCCATCCCCTCACACCTGTGCTCACCCCTGCAGACAAGCCCATGATGATCATCGCCGAATACATGGAGAACGGGGCTCTGGACAAGTTCCTCCGGGTAAGGACGTGGGCTGGGGTGGGGCGGGGTCTGTGGCCGGCGCTTAGGGGCCGCGGTGGGCGCAGGGCTGGCTGGCAGCTGACGGCCTGTGCTCTGGCAGGAGAAGGATGGCGAGTTCAGCGTGCTGCAGCTGGTGGGCATGCTGCGGGGCATCGCGGCCGGCATGAAGTACCTGGCCGGCATGAACTACGTCCACCGCGACCTGGCTGCCCGCAACATCCTCGTCAACAGCAACCTGGTCTGCAAGGTGTCTGACTTCGGCCTGTCCCGTGTGCTGGAGGACGACCCCGAGGCCACCTACACCACCAGTGTAAGGGCCGGGGCGGCTGTCACCTGGGGCGGGGGCCTCAGGAGGCAAGAACGCCTCCGGGGAGCATGGAGGAAGGGCCCTGACTGCGATCGTCCTGGGGGTGGCCTAGGGGGCAATAGTGATCGGCCGGGTCCCCACAGGGTGGCAAGATCCCGATCCGCTGGACGGCTCCGGAGGCCATCTCCCACCGCAAGTTCACCTCCGCCAGCGACGTGTGGAGCTACGGCATCGTCATGTGGGAAGTGATGACGTATGGCGAGCGGCCCTACTGGGAGCTGTCGAACCACGAGGTAGGCCCCCTCGCCCTGCCCAGCCCCGTCCGGATCTGAACTGAAACCCTTTACTCATCCTCAAACCCCAGGGGCTGGGCAGAGAAGAGTTTTGGGGGCTAATCATCTGGTACACCCCTTCATTGGTTCGTTCAGCGAATGTTTCTTGAGGGCCTACCATGTGTCAGGTCTTGTGCTGCGCTCCAGACCCAGTCCCTGCTTACACTCAGCAGGACGAGGGAAGGAGTAGTGGGTGTGGGGGAAGTGTGTGCGTGCACGCATGTGTGTATCTGTGTGTGTGCGTGTGTGTGTGTGTGCAAGTGCCTGGTGCCTCATGCAGCCTAGAGGCCTGGAAGGCTTCCCAGAGGAGGTCACGTCTCAGCTAGGACTAAGGCACAATAAAGCAGCAGCAGCAGCCAGGTGAGAACACAGAGGGGAAGAGTGCTCTGGCTGAAGGGAGCAGAGTGTATAGGCGCCCAGAGACCGCGGGGAGGCTGGCTGCAGGGCAACGCCCAGGGTACCCTGTGAGGGAACAAAGTCAGGAGACCCTTTCTCCTCTGGAGACATCCTCTTAGCACTTGTCCTTTGTGTAGCGCCGAAGGTTGTGTGTCATGCTTAAGGAAGGAGGCCAATCCCTCTGTTTCGGGGGCTCCCCTTCTCTCCTCTAGCAGCCCCTGTGTATGGGGGAGTTTGGGGGCTGTGAAGGCACCCCTGACCATCCTGCTCGCCCCCTCCCCCAGGTGATGAAGGCCATTAATGATGGCTTCCGGCTTCCCACACCCATGGACTGCCCCTCCGCCATCTACCAGCTCATGATGCAGTGCTGGCAGCAGGAGCGCGCCCGCCGCCCCAAGTTCGCCGACATTGTCAGCATCCTGGACAAGCTCATCCGAGCCCCCGAATCCCTCAAGACCCTGGCTGACTTTGACCCCCGGTGGGTTCCATACCCTCTGTCCAGGATGGCCCCCAGTTTTACTCCTGAGTCACTTCAGCATAATGGGCAGCCAGGGGCGGTGGGCAAGGGGCTCAGAAGTTACGCGTGGGCTTTACTTAGACTGGACTGGGTTGGCTCAGGTGGCACTAACGGAACCAATCAACACATACAGTAAATGTGCCAGCACGGCACTCAGCGCTTAACGTGTTTTAACTTATTTAAACAACTTAGGAGTTGGGTCCTGTAATCATCCCCCTTTTGTAGATGAGGAAACAGACGTAGGGCAATTAAGTGTCTTATGTGCTGGCAAGTAGCCAGGCTGGGACTGTGACTCTGAAAACCTGACTCTCTTAACATTTGGTTATTTTGTAGTAACTGGTGGTGGTATCATCAGTAGACGCAGAGGGGCGGCAGGAGCTATAAACACTGACTGCTCCTGACCCATCAGGCAGACTCCCGGAAGCCTCCCTGACTTGGCTGCCCTGTTGTCCAGATGAGGAAACCGAGGCACAGGGCAGCTGAGCGAATTGCCGGGGTTAGGGAGCAGCATCGTGGGCTGGATGCTGCAGCCCCTCACTCGTGGGCCGGTATCTCCTGTTGCAGGGTGTCCATCCGGCTGCCCAGCACCAGCGGCTCAGAGGGTGTGCCCTTCCGCACGGTGTCCGAGTGGCTGGAATCCATCAAGATGCAGCAGTACACTGAGTACTTCCTGGCGGCCGGCTACACGGCCATCGAGAAGGTGGTGCAGATGACCAACGAGTGAGTCTGCGCTCGGGCCCCGCCCGCGCCTGCCCTCTCCCGCCTCCCACCTCCCCAGGCTGCCTCTGGCTCCACCACCCATCTGCTCTTCTCTCTACCTTCCCAACGCTCCCCTCTCTTCTCTTTCTCTCTCCTTCTCTTTTGGGGAGGGTGGCTTTGCAGGAAGGGCAGAACCAGGCTGGCAGCCAGCAATTCTGGTCACTTACTCGTGGCTCCGTCCTCTTCCTACATCTTTTTTCCACAGCGAGAAAATAATAGTAATTGTGATCATAACCATAGCATTTATCGTGGGCTGTGCCAGCTCTGTGCCTGAGCACTTTGAATCAGCCCTCATGATAACTTGGCAGGTGGTTCCCGTCAGTAGTCCCACTGGGCAGGTCAGAAACAGTACAGCCCAGGGTCCATGGCCATTTGGGGGATTCCAGCCCTGGTCAGTCAGGGTCCCAGAGCTCAGGGACCATGGAGGTCATTAGTGGAGAAACTGAGGCTCAGAGAGGTTACGTGGCTTACTCCAGGTCACACAGTTGGTAGCTGAGAAAAGAAAGGCTTCACTTCACAGCCATCACCTGGTTGAATTCCCTATTTGCCTTGTGAATAGATGCTATTATCACTTCCCTATTTAAGTAGGAAAACTGAGGCTGAGAGGTTACATAGGTTGCCCGAGGTCACGCAGCCAGTTAGGGGCAGCGTTCCTCTCCAGGACGCTGAGAAGAAATGGGCAGAGCCCTTGGACTTTCCTGGCTGATGCCGAGGAGAGAGGGCACCAGGCCAGCCCATCTCAGGCATCTCTCCCCGTGTGGTTGACTCTCAGCTCTGCGGTCCAGCTTGGCAAGAAGTGCCAGTTACCCCTTACCCTGGCCCCGGGTTCTGCCTTTGTCAGGCTGCCCTATGGGAGCTCTTCTCTCCTCCCAGCTCCAGCATCAGGGACCCTTCCCGGCATGGACTTGGCATGGACACCTCCTCCCACCCCAGGAGGGAGAAGACATTACCCTCTTAGCTTTTTGTGCTTCTAAAAATACTGTTAGTTCCCAATAGCCCAGCTTGTGTAAGGTCCAAGGTCATGGTGGGAATGAGCCTTGGGGCTGAGAGGTTTTGGGAATCACATGGGAAGGGATGACCCAGGCATCCCACAGTTCTGGGTCACAGTTCTGGGATTTGGGCCTGTGTCTGAACATTCTCCAAGGCCTCTGAAAACTGCTCAACTGGGCTTCTGACCTGCTGCTCAAGGCCTCTCAGCCTAGGCCCCTGGCCTGTCCCAGGGGAAGGCCGGGATGAAAGTCAGGCAGGGACAGAGCTGACCAGAGGGCGGCACGGAAATGTGGAGAGAAGAGATGGGCCCCAGGATATCTTTTGTTTCCAGCCAACTGCAGGGTCCAAAGCTTGGGCTCTGCAGTCACACCTGGGTTCGAGCCCACACTGGCCACTCCCTAGCCGGTGGTTTTGGTCAAATTAGGTTCCATCTTTGAGCCTCGGTTTCTGTTTCCTCGTTGTGGGGATTGCATGGGTGCAATACAGATGATATGCCTGGTACGCAGTGAGGGCTTAACCCATGTCACTCTTCCCTTTCCCTCCATGCCCTTGCTCTCCACCCATAGCCTGCGGGCAAATGCCAGGGTTCCTCGGCTCTCCCTCTAACCCGGGAACCTGGAACAACCCCCTCTGCCCCTCCAGGAGCTCCCACTGAGGACAGTACAGCTTCTCTTCTGGGTGAGCAGAGCTGAGGGCACGGAGAGGTGCATACAGGAAACACATGTTCGTAGAAGCTTCCCGAAATAGCCCGGGGTGCTCCTCGGCCAATTCCTTTCCCACGAGCAGGAAGGAGCAGGGACGGGGCTGTCTTGGATGGGTGGAGGGTGTGTGTGCTGTGTTTTGAAAAGGGCTGCATAAAGGCAGGAAGTCATTCCACGCTGCTGCTCTTCCCATCAGCTCCCCTGGTGCTCAGATCTGGGGCCTGTGTGACTCACACCACTGCCTCCTTCATTACTTCAATTAAATGAAAGAAAGGGGGGTCTCAAAGTGCTTTTTCACCCTGAAAGCTCCATCTACACGTGCTGTGGATCCCAGTGCGGGGCTCTGAGCCGCTCTCAGAATTCAGCCCTTCTGGGATGGGGTCTGGATTTCGGCTTCAATGCCCTTACCCCCGCCTTTGCCTCCCTGCTTCCTTTGCCCCCTCCCAGGGGGCTGGCCGCTCGGTTCCCTGTGGTCCCACAGTGGCCACCTTTTCTCGTCTTGAACATTCACCGTGTTATTTTGGAGTCACTTGAGTTTCTAGCTAGAGTAGTGAGTGGTTCTAAATGTGTTGCGAGGAGCTAATGAAAGCAATGGATGTTACACCCCAGAAAAATACCCAGTCCAACAAAAGGCCCATCCAGTGTGTGAGGCTGTGGCATACAGCGTCCCGAGAGGGCGTGGGGACACTGGCTGATAGGTCTTCTGGTCTCCGAGTGCTCTCAGCACAGGCTTGGCGCTGATGGGATGTTTGCTGAGAGGATGAATGATGAGGCCACCTCTCCCTCCACTCTCCTTGCGCCAAGGGCCAGAGCACAGTCGGTGCTCACCGGGGAGATTGTGGCCTTTGAATTCCCTCAGGTCGGGGCTGGCCTTGAGAGTGCTCAGGAAGAAGATGGCCTCAGTCATGTGCTTCCCCCACCCCTGTGATGGGAGTTGATCCAAGGAAGTGACTGCCTTGGATCTCCGAGTGGGGAACTGAGGCTGGGGCAGGAACAGACTTGCAAGAGGCCGCAGGCATTGGCCGGTCTGGGAGCCTCATCCTGTGTGTGTCTCTGTTTATAGTTAGGAAATGAGGCAGGGAAGGTTTGGGGGGCTTTGTGTCGGAAGAGACTGGGGCTGGGGCAGGTGGCTTAGAAGCATCTAATCGGAGCCTCCTATTTTACGTATAAAGAAACTGTGGCCCAAAGACAGGACAGGACCCACCCGAGGCTCTGGTGGAATCCAGGACTAGAATTCGGCCTCCTGCCTCCCAGCCCAGGACTTTTCCTCCTAGATGGACCTCAGAAGCACCCTCAGCTCCTGCCCTGTCAGGTTAACTTCACCAACCTGGGAGAGGGGCCCCAGGCAGCCTGGGCAATGGCTCAGTCGCCACTAAAGCATTCATTCATTCATGCAGCAGACACTCCTCGAGGGCCTACTGTTTACCAGGCCTGTCCTGGACCTTGGGAGGGGCTGGGAGTGAGGGGATGAGCCTGGGGCACTAGGCCCTACTGTTGCTCTGCTATAGCTAACATAACCCACTGGTCCTCAAACCACACATCAGGGTCTTTGGGATCTGATCAAATGCAGACTCCCTGCCCCGCCTTCAGAACTTCAAAAGTCAGTGAGTCTGGAGTTGGGCCCAGGATCCTGCCTTTTCAGTAAGTGCCTCCTTCCCTGCTGGTCCGAATACTTATCTGGGAGCCACACTTAGACACCTACGGGTGTGGGGAAAACAGTGGTTCTTTTCCCAAACCCTCAACTGTATAGGTTAGAAATGGCGCTGCAGTGTTAGGTTAGGAAGTTCTCCCATATGTCTGACTTCTAGCCTTCCTGCTTCAGTCCCTGAGCCACCCTCCCACACACCTGAAAGTCATGTCTCCGGAACTGCAAATGGGAGCTTGCACCACATAATTAGCTCCCTTTACAGCCAGGAGAGGGCCCATAAAAACCTGGGTGTTTTCATGGGTTTGAGCTGGTGGACGAGGATGGTGAAGGAGGAAACTCCCAGAGTAAGCAGTAAGGTCCGCTCCAGGGCTCTTGGAGTGTAAGTGGTTTTACAAGGGGATGGAGGGGCATGGAAAGGAGGGGCAGGGAAGGGCTATGGGCTCCTGGGCGCGTCTTTCTATCTGGTACTAATGCCGCCTTACCCCTCTGCCACCAGTATCCGGGATCTCCCACTCTCCAGTTAGGCACTGTTATCCCATTTTACAGGTGAGGAAATTGAGGTCCCTAAAGGGAAAACCCCTACCTCAGGGTAACCTAGTCACTGGATCTGGTCACCTGAAAGCCCCTCCCATTAGAGACCAGCAGGACTTTAACCTCTGATGGCCCCTCAGCAAGGATTTCCTGAGTCCTTCCTCCGGTATGAGAACTTGGAGGGAGTGGGGGTGAAATAAGGAGATGGCTGTGAAGAGACCTTGGGCAGAGAGCTTTGAGCGACACCCCCAGAGGGTCCCTGGCATCTGGTGATGGCATCAGTGCTGCCTGGGGAGGAGCCTTACCTGGGGACAGACCCCAGGGTGGGGGAGGGAAGCCTTTGTTCACAGCTGGCTCGATTCAGCTCCTCCACCTCTTAGCCTGGGTCACTTTGGGCAAGTCACTTCACCTCTTTGAGCCTCAGTTTTCTAGTCTGCAAAATGGGGGCAAAAACAGCACCTACCGTAGATTTTGTGCAGATTTGATTTTTAAAAACAACAAAGCTGCTCGCATTCAGCGCTTCAATCATTTTGCGAATTTTGTCGGTGTCGGCAGGCTTTCCGGATATGCATCCACTCATCAGACCTCTGCCTTACGAGCTCTGCCCCCCAGGCACCCAGGGCCCCCTCCCCGGTCCCTCTTCTCTCCCCTCACCTCCCTCCCATGGCTGCCCACCTCTCCAGAGCAGGCCCCTCACTCTCCCTCTCTCCCTCCCCCGCACAGCGACATCAAGAGGATCGGGGTGCGGCTGCCCGGCCACCAGAAGCGCATTGCCTACAGCCTGCTGGGCCTCAAGGACCAGGTGAACACAGTGGGGATCCCCATCTGAGCCCTGACAGACCTCGTGACCCCCCTCAGCTAAGAATACTTGAAGAAACAGACTGGCTTTCCTGCCAGCTCCATGCTGGGCCACCAGGGACCTTATTTATTTCTAGTCGTTCTTTATTGATGCCACCCTGAGGGCTCTGCTGGGGGGTCTTGGACGATACCTTGGCCTGAGCTGAGGAGATGCTCAGGGACCTTGGGCAGGGGGGCCTCTTCACCTACAAAGGACAGACAGCCAAGCACTTAGCAGTCACCATCGTGTTCCCAGCATCCCCTGGGGCAGGAGCCCCGCCAAGGCCTTTGGACACACACGTGGGACATTGCTAAACTGACCTCCCCTTCGCCGTCTCAGGAGGTGGGGCAGTCACAGGAGCAGGGTACCTCATGAGAAGAGGACAAACAGCAAAGTCAGCTGGGCAAGACCCACAGCGGTTCTCCCGTCCCTCTAGTGCCTTCCTCAGACCCCCAGGCCCCATCCTCAGCCCCCACGGGCCAAACACTTGCTTCCTCGGGGCCCTCACAGGATGCTTGGTTGTGTGGAGGGTTTTTTTTTTTTTAATATATATTTTGTACTTTGTGGAGAGAATGTGTGTGTGATGGGGGCTCGGCTAGGACTGGGGGCAGACAACGGCCTGTGTCAGACATTCCCAGGCTGGGGGCTGGCCCATCCGGCCTCTCACCCCTTTAGACAACATTTTCTACTCTGTCAGTATTAATGATTTTGTTCTATTGCGTATTTTTTTTTGAACCTTAATTTATTATTATTTTTTTTATATTTATTGTTAGGAAATGACTTATTTCTGCTCTGAAATAAAGTTGCAGATTGTTCAAACAGTGGGGTTGGAGAGGCTTTGTGTCAGCAGTGGGTGGGGGAGGGCTCACCCCACCCAGAGTGTTTAAACAGAGCTTCTTACGCAAGGCACACATGTCATGTAACCCTGGGAATGGGGTGGGTGGAAGGTGGGCGGAGGGCCAGGGAGCGGGCCCTGCCGAGTCTGGCTTCCATGCCAACAGGCCTCTGTCACCTTTGATCTCAAGGCTTCTGGAGGGCTTAGGGGGTGGGGGTGGGGCGGGGGGAGAATGGTGAGAACACCCATCAGCATCCCTCCCACACATCTCCACGGAGTTGTTGAAATAGATTCTTCATCCATGTAGGGCTCTGAGGTTTACAAAACTTTTCACAAGTTTGGGCTTGTTGGAGCCTTAGCACTTCCGAGTGTTGTGGGTAGCCCCATTTTACAGAAGAAGAAAACTGAGGCCGGGCCCAGTGGCAGGGCTTGCCCAAGGCTACACAGTGAGTTAGAGGCGGAGGCCAGACTTGAAAGCAGGGCCTTGAATCCCAGTTAGATGCTTTTCTCACAGAGGGGTGACTGCGACTCAGAGATGTGCAGTGACTTGCCCGAAGTCACACAGCAGGAAGGAGCAGAAGCTTTGAGGGAAACCAAAGCCCGGATATCACACCCCAAACCTTCTCCACTGTACCAGGTTGCTGCCCAGTATGCCAGAGGTTGTTCACAGTGGGCCTTAGGAAGTGTCATACACGGGTGACCAGAGACAGGACCAGATGAGCAGAAGTGGTCTGGGGCACAGGAGGAAGCCTTCCTGGAGGAGGTGATCCGGAGCTAAGAGCTCAGGGACAAGTAGGAATTAACCAGTGAAGCATTGGGAGAGGGTGATGCAGGCAGAGTAAACTGTGGAGGTAGGAAACCGAGTGATGTTGTAAGGAGGAACCACAAGAAATTTGGTGTTATTAGGGCGTGATGTAGGGTGCTGAAGAGGTCTCCAGGGCCTTGTAAGGCAGTTCCAGGAGTGGGGATTTTAAGTTGAGGGCGATGGGGAGACACTCAAGATTTTAAATAGGAAGAGATGTGATTACAGTGCCCCAAACAGCAGTCACTGGTAGAGGCAGGCCCAGAACTCGGGCCTCTTGACTCCCAGCCTAGAGCTATGGGGAGATGGGAGACATCCTGGCAAAGTTGGGAGGGCGCTCAGCTTGCCTTGGGGCCTCAAGATGCCTACTCTGCCCTGACTCCGTACAGCTGCAGGAGAGCTGACTCCATGGGGAGCTCTGGGTCCTGGCCCACTGAGCATCAGTGTTTCCTGAAGTGTTGGGCAGGGCTGGGGTTGGGAAAGGTAAGAGAGGACAGGGACCAGCTCACCAGACCTTTCTCCCATTAGCACTGGGACACCTGGGTGTGCTGGGCATGGTGGCTGAGTCAGGCCTTCCTGGGACCTGACCCTTGCCTGTGGTGCCCCAGGTGGCCACCGTGGCTCTGTTGCTGGGCTGTGGAAACTGCCACCACTGTTGACAAAGCTGTTGGTCCAGCAAGGAGCAAGCCTATAATCCCCCAGCGGTCTGGGCTGTGAGGGCACCTGAGAACAGGCTCAGTCCCATTCCCAAAGTGACTCAGCCACCCAATGGCCCCACTGGTGAGAACCAGTGGACACAAGAGGTAGCTCAGCGTGCTGCGGAGGTGGCTGCCTGTGTTCCCTCGCTCACTCTCTCACAGCCCCAGTGGACATAAGGCCTACTAAGGGCCTATGACATTGCACAGGCCTGTGGCCTACAGACAGGGTCAAAGGCCAGTGGGCAGCCGTCTGGAGCCTCCAACAGACCCCACGATTGACAAGAGGGGAAACTTAATTTTTTAAGTGAAAGCAAACCCAGTTCTCCCCTCTAAAGGGCCTAGAAGCTGTGACATCCTGGTAGCAATAAGCACATCCAGCCCCCAGATCTTGGTTCCTAAACACCACTCTCTAATAAATGGAATCAGAGCTCCTTAGAGAAATGACTGATTCCAGGGCTGAGGCAGGGAAAAATGCAAGATGAGTCTGGAGCATCTTGCAGTGCGAGAGAGTAGGGAAATGCTCAAAAAATAAACAGGTGGTGGGATATCAGAACAGGAGCCAACCTGAAAGAGATCCCAATGGCCAAACCTAAACCAGGATGAGCAACGGAGCAAATAACAGAATTAGATTATCATCCAAAGTATGAAATAAATATCCGTGAGTCCGTACTGATATAATGATTGAAGAAATAAATAAATGGGGGAGACTAGACAAATTCTCCCTTACAGAAGAATTTCAAGTAATTCATGTAGGTTTTCCCCCTCCAGGAGGTGGAGCTTAGTCCCCCACTTCTCTGAGTGTGGACTGGACCTAGTGAAACCCTCCAAAGAAAGGAAGTATAAAAAGGGTTTAAAAAGAAAAAGAAAAAACTGTTTACAGTAGAGAAACCTGGCAAACACCACCATAACTAGATTATAACATCAGTAGTGAAAAAACAAACAAACAAACCCAGGAATAGGTTGCTTGAATTTGATTGGGTGTCAGCAAACACACAGGAGTTATCAGGTGCCACCCACTGCTCCAAGTGCTTTGCCCATATTTACTCATTTAATCTTTCCAACAACCCTTCGAGGTAGGTACCATCATTATCCCATTTTATAGACTTGAACAGTGAGGCACAGGGAGGTTAAGTAACTTGCCAGAGCCACTGGCTCAAGCACAGAAGGAGCAGGAGTTGAGCCCAGGCAGTCTGGGGCCTTGACAAAATGGTTTTCCGTTTGCCACCTTCAACTGCCAAGACAGGACATTCTCCTCTCTCTGCTATAATGGGCACCTCCGGAAACTGAGGCCACATAACCTGCCCAAGGTCTCCAAATACCACGGGGGCCCAACGCCCCAGGCACCCAGATTGGAGTGGGGAGGGGAGAGGATGGAGACTGTTTGCTGCTTTCTCCTGCTCTGGGCCATGCTGGGCACTGGGGCGGTAGGGATGAATAAGGTCCTTCTCTGCCCTCAAGGAGCTCCTAGCCAGGCAGGGGCAGCAGTGGCAACACAGCAGGACTCAGGCCAAGAAGGAGAGGAGCTGGGTATCATAGGAGCCAGAGGGGGGCACCTGACTCAGCCTGGAAGGTTCAGGCAGACTTTCTGGAAGAAGAGAAGCCATCCAAGTTGAGGCCAAGGTCAAGAGGGAGTCCATCAGGTGAGGGGGAGAGAAGGGTCCCCAGAAGAGCTTGTCCCTGCCCTCCGTACTCCAGACCTTTGTGAGTGGGGCCTGAGTCTCCCTCATTTGACCAGGACAAGCCCTGCTCTGGTTCCAAGGCCACCCTGGCCCCTGGCTGTTGCGCCACGAGCAGCCCTATGATGCCAGCCCTGCTCTCATTCCCACCCCAAGCAGAACCTTCATCTCTGGCCTCAGTCATCTCAGCTGGGAAGTGGGCCTGCAGCCCACTGACCCCCCGGGCTCTGAGCTGCATGGGCCTTGGCAGCCCTCTGATGCACCCAACAAAGCCCTAAAGGAGGCAAAGGCAGCAATTGCAAGGATGCTCGGTGGGGAGTCGCCTTCTTTCTCTTCTGCTCCCGGTCTGGGTGGCAAGTCAAAACTATAACCAGGTACCGGCCTTGGGTCTTCTAGTTAATTACTAAATCATAGAGGAGTGGGCAAGCTCTCTGCCCTTCCTCCTCGCCCCATTCCCCACCTCTAGCTGTGACCCAGGGCTGAGGGTAGGGCCTGGTACACAACAGATGCCGCTAGAACAGGGGTTGGATGCTTGCAGTGTGTAAAGTGCTTGCATTCTCACCTCTGGTCTTCTGTGCCTTTGCGCATGATCGCCACGCCTTCATGGCCCCCTCCCCAGAACAGTGTTTGGCACCCACTAGGCCCTCAATAAATATTTGCTCAATAAACAAAGAATGAAGGAGAGAGGGGCCACGCTTTTGGGATCTGGGGGCTCAGTGGAGCCATATGAAGCCAGATTATTCAATATCCCCACATGTGGGTTGTGTCCGGGAGGCATGCTATGCAGACGGCCTCAGCTCTCGCTGGCTGGCCAGGACCACGCAGGCAAGTTGTAAAGGAGAAGGGATTGAGCATCTCTGAGCACCCACTATGTGCCAGTCAGTGTGCTAAGCCCGAGACCCACATTGTCTTATTGAAAGATCACAATGACTCTGCAAGGCATGGATTATCCCCATTATACAGATGGGGACACTGAGGCT